CATCCAACCCAGTCCCAGGGAGCATTAAAGTAGTCAAACTGGGCATCTGGTCTTCTCCATGCACTGGAAACAAAACAAACTCAAAATCCGTCTTAATGAAAAGCCATGACTTTATCACCGATCCAGTTCGACTTCAAGTTTGGCACCTATAGACTCTGCCAGAAGCTTTGCCATGGTTGTTGTTGCTTATAAAGTTTAATAATAGCAAAGGTTGTCTCCATAGTGAAAAATACTTCCTTTAAAGAACAGGGCTGGATCGATTGGCTGCATGTAAGAAGGACATGTAAAAGATTGTAAGAAAAAAAAAAAAAAGAGGTCGGCACTTCACATTTACAAAGTTAGTACACAGTGTGGGGAGAAGACGGCAATGGAGCAGATGACAGGGGATGTCCAAACAGCATACTTGTGTCTACATAACCCCCACTCAAACGCTTGTGGACTAAAGACAGTCTTTGCAGGCCCCAGAGGCATTACAGACTCGACAATGGATTTTGCTTGGTTTAAGGCAGATCCCAGTGATGTCCCCTGCTTACCCTAGTGTGGCCATCTTCTCTGCCTTTGTCAGATGATATGCTTGTGTGTAGTAATGGAGGGAAGAGGGAACACGCACAAATTGCTCTGTGAACATACCTGGCCATCAGAAGATCAGTTGGAACTGGGATACATGCTGCCCGGAAGGTCAATAGCATGGCCTCATAGAAATCAGCTCCTAGCTTCTTAAAGAGCTAAAAATATCCTCACTGTCAATCCCAGTAGTTTTGAGTGGGGTGGGTGAGGACCTGCAATGGTGGGCATTGGCCTGAAGGTCTCACATATGATAAACATATATTCTACCTGTGAGTCACACCCCAGTTCTCAGAATCCAGCATTTCTGCGCTTAGATGGCTATTTGATAGAAATCAAACCATGATCCTATTTATGGTTCTAGATCTATTTAGCCCTAGAAGTTTATTTGTAGAGCTTTTACCCGAAAGCCATCCACATATTTGCCAGTAGGAAAAAGGACTCTTCAGTCTCCACCTAGGTATCTGGTGATAATGAGGATGCATAGTGGGCATATGTAACTCTGCAAATCAAGGGCTTTGGTAAATGACTCACTTTTCACAGACCTACCTGACATCTGAGTACTTTACAGTCACCCAAAGATGCCGCTATTAAGAAAGAAAGCCCATGGGTTATCTATAGAGAACACTTCTCGCTAAGAAATGTCTTCGAGTCAATAAGCAATTAAGGAAGATTCAGAGGGACAAGGCAAGTAAGATGCTTAGGAGTTAATTTGTATGATTCTTGAATAACAATTTTTTTCACATTACAGTTTTCCAGACATAGTTCCTGTTTATGTTTAGTAGAAGTCAGTGAAACCAAGTGACATACATCCTACATCAGCATCTCTCACTAAAGAACAAATTCTGAAATTTTCCGTCCCAATAAAAGGGGGCACAGAAATACTACCTATTGTTCAATAAATAAACACCACTTTCATATTCAATGAGTTGTAAAAGTTAGATGATTTTAGTGATATATATATATATATATATATATATATATTATGAAATAATGTATCCTGCTGGCCTTCTATCCAATGTAGCTGAGACTGGGATCTGAGTTAGGACACAATAAATACACAGCCTTTGCCCTCTCAAGGGTCTTACAGTCTCTCAGGAGGCAAGAACACATAGCTACTTCCTTACTGTGGTGAGGGCCATCAGAGAGATTTTGAAAGCCAGTTTCTCCCTCAAATACCGAGAATGCCTGGGGGAAGCCTTTAGGAAGGGGTAACTATTCTGGGCTTAGATAACAGACAGAAGGAAGACAGGGGATGCTGTGCTCCACCTGTAGCCAGTGTCAGCATCTCCTCTGCACCCAGAGATTCCACTACTCCAAGGGAAAAGTCACTGTGTTCAGGGTTGAACCACTTGGAAGTGCTGGGACGTACCCTCCATGGCATCTGACCAGCTTTCTACCCTTAATCTGTAGGAGCCGGCCATCCAGTGAAACACCTCACCTGTGTTTGCATAGTTTTCCCATGCCTCCGGTGACATCATTAGCCGGGTCCCCCCCTCACTCTTCTCCATCAGCTTTATAAAACTTGAATCCTCCCATCAGGACTGACAAAGGAATGGGATGGAAAACACTGGAGACCAGGAAGCCATGATAGCCACTGTCCAGGCAGGCAGCAGTACAGGCTTGACTGCAGGCAGGTCCCACAAGCAGATACCAGGCAAAGGAGAAGCCAGTGGAAAGGCAGCCTCAGGAGACAGGTGATCAGGGACGGCTTTTGTACAACATGCAGGTATCCAACAAGATCCCCAAGACTTGAAATAATTTACCCTGCCTCTTACAATGATGTGCCCTCTCCATTTAGTTAGTTAGTCACACATTTGGTATGAATTGACCTTGTAGCACCATATGTCAATCCCTGATCTGGGTGGCTGGGACATATTAGGGAGCACGCAGGGCTGACTTTGTAATAACAGAACACATCAAGGCATCACTGTGAAGGGAATGTATAAAATAAACCTCCAGGTACCCACAATCTTGGAACTGCAAGCAAGATGACTTCTCCATTGCAAAATGAAGATTTCAAATTAAAGGGGGCAAAAGGGGAAAGAAAAACCCACATGAAATGAAAATTAGCTTTGTGATGAGACAAACTGATACCAAAGAGAAAAAATTAAAATATAAAGAATAAAATAAAAATAAATATAAGTTAAAGTCAGACTACATGTCATTTGACTAGAATGACTCCAACAGTCATGTATTTCTTACTGGCAAAGGAAGCAATCTACCAGGTATGTATCCATCACCCAAACAGCACAACTCTTTATAGAAACAAAACTGATAAAAACCCAGGGAGAGTCTAACAAACCCTATCATGGAAGGGAGACTGTCCAGCAAGGCCTGAAGGCTGAACCACAGTGGACGAAGCTGCAGTAGGTCTGGATGTGGGAATTACATACACATCTTGAGTGGCAGGATAGTTGATTGCCTTGACAATGAAGGAAAAGGCTTCGTCTACGGAATGTCCACAATAAACTCAGGACTCTTCAGTCTCCACCTAGGTATCTGGTGATAATGAGGATGCACAGTGGGCATACGTAACTCTGCAAATCAAGGGCTTTAGTAAATGACTCACTCTTCACAGACCTACCTGACATCTGAGTACTTTACAGTCACCCAAAGATGCCGCTATTAAAAGGTGATATTTTTGTTCAAGAGCTTTCCCTAAACCAGGGAACATTGGTCTCCAGTTGAGTCAGCATGAAACAGGTATTAGAACTGCGCGTTTGTGGGTGTCTGTATGTCGTGTCTGTGTCTATAGGTGTGTGTGTTTATTGAAACATGCTATGTGTATTGTGTTTGTGAGCATGTATCTTTTTATTTGTAAACAGGTGTGTGTGTATGCGTGTGTGTGCATGTGCGTATATGTGTGGGTCTGTGTGTGTGTGTGTGTTGTGAGTCTCAGAACAAGTTAGATTTACCAATGTGTTTTGTTGGTGCCTAAACTGCTAGAGGATCAGGTCTATTTAATTTTAATGGATATTTATTGGAAGTGTGCTATGCCATTAGCATTATAGAATGGAACCCTTTATCCCACTTAAGCCCTCTCAAAAAGTATACCGTCTGAAAATTCACCAGTTATCATCTGCTTCCCACAACACAGAATCTCAGTGTGATCTTGGCAGCCAAACAGGCAAAGATCCCGGCCACTTAGTTAAACAACCCGAGGGGCTTCACTGACAAAGCAGTGACAAATGCTCGGAGTTAATTGTAGGCGGGGCTTTCGATCGTACCAGTTGGCTGCGCTTAACCCTCCACCAGGCTTCACTCAAGCAATTAACAAGACACTGGCAACTAAGGGTGGTCGTGGTGACCAGGCTGAGAATGCTGAATCTGGAAAAAGGAACGGGCTTGCTCTCAGCTTCATGGACACTCTCCCCTTGCAGGGCGGTCTCACCAAGGGCACTTCCTGAGAGACAGCACCAACAGAGACCCCTGGCAGCATTCCTTCCAGTGAGAGACATGCCATCAGGGTAACATACATTTAATAATCACAAAGAATCTTCTGACACATACTTTAGATTGCCACAAATGACATGAAACAAATTCAAAACAATTTTTTTTCAGAGTTTATTGGGGCATGTGCACAACAGAAAGTTAAAAGATTGACAAAGCCACAACTTCTTGAAGGGGACCCCGAGTCTCCCTTCAAAATGTCATGTTGCAGCTCTAAGAAGGCCTGTACCCTGTGAGCCTCCCCTCCCCTCCCCGCAGCCTGGGAAACATTTGCTAATCACTGAAGTCACTTCTGTCTGAACATTCCATAGTTTCAGGATCCATGACACTGACTGGATGCATGTAGTTTTAAATATTTACATTCTCACTGAGGACTCAGGGTGTGATTGCTAACATGTACAATAGCCCGCAACACAGAACAAGACTGCCCACCACACAATTCAAGTTTAACCCCCAGCTGTCAACGGACTTCAACCCAGGGGGAGAACAGGTTAAAACTGCAGAAAGGAGCCACTTGGCACATTTCTGGAAGGATGGAAAGACCAGAGTTCCCAACTGAAATAGATGGGTACTGCCAAGAACAGGTCATGTGACATTATTTTCAACATGCCCTTGAGTGAGGGGTCATCAGGGCATCTAGTTATTGAACCCATGGAGGATTGAGGTGTATCTGTCCCCCTGTTTTAGCTGAGAAGTTTCACAAACCACACAGTCAAGACCTGGGTTTGGGAGCCAGGCAAGGGACAGATGTTTTCAGGGTGTCTCTCTCAGATTCCCATGCTAAACCTATTGTTGAAGGACATGGAAATATGCAGGGGCACTAGGCCATTTCACAGGTGCTAGAAAGCTACGCTTTCCTGTTTTCCTGATTTAGACAATGGGGGAGTTAAGAAAAAAATAATAGGAAAAGACTTTCCTATATTTGCTTTAAAAATTTATGTTATTTTGAATCGAGTAACCTTTTGTCCTTTTTTGGTCAAGTCTCATCTCTATTCCTTTGGTTTTGCCAGAAATATTTATGGGAAAAGTGGATTGGAACAAAAAGCCCTGATGATCCCATTCACCTATTGAAAGTTTGGTTGGTGAGAACAGTCCACAAAAGCATTCAAGGTTAGGAACTCAAAGAGGTTAAAAACTTCATGAGGAGCAAAAGAATTCATTTCCTAATCAGTGTGCCCAGCACCGTGAACATAACCACACACAGAAATGTTCGTTTCATTCCACACTCTCCACTGTTCTGGGGAAGTGTCAGGCTAGACATTCCCAGAGCTTTGCTACTTTGTCCCTGGGTCAGAGGCTGAAAGAAAGCAGTGGATTACTTTCTTTCTTTCTGCCAGGTGGGATTCCTCCAGTGACTGTTGCTGAGAAATGCCATGAGGACGCAAAGTGCTATAAAGTGATCATGATGTTGGTGACAGAGGTAGTGGTGGTGTTGATGAGCCGGTCATCCAAGCCAGAAGATGGCTACATCTGGGTTTACACCAAAGCCAGGCTACCTAGATACCAGGGATACCTGGGGCCAGATTTCCTTTACAAGTAGCATTCCTGAGTCCCTCCCGAGGCATTTCTTTATGAGTAGTTCATTTTCTAAACTCTTCAAATTACTGCCTGCGGGGGTAGTGCATCACCTGTCTTTAATGATGAATAAACACTAATGCAAAGGCCTAGGAAGGTAGTTCCTGGAAAGCGCCTGTCTAGCATACTTTCAGCGCAGGCTACCGTCACCAGCACCACATAAAAGACAGAAAGGAATGATGGCCACCTGAAATTAAGGAATGAGAGGACTGAAGGCTCGAAGGTATTCCTTTCCCCTTAAACTCTCTGGAATTCTCTGGGAAAGAAGAGTGGGAGGAGATAGTTCTAAATACAATTTTTTTGTTTTGTTTTTGTTTTTGTTTTTGTTTTTTTACCAGGTATGTACCCAAGCAGCATTTTCTCTGCATCCTCACAGGCAAGGGACTGTTCTGTCTCTGCTCACTGATTTGTTAGCCTAACAACCTTGGCTCCCTTTGGCCAACGGAAGTCCATTTTTCTCCTGCTTGGCCTCTTAGATGCTCTAACCCAAAATTTTCCAGTCTCAAACACGAGGACAACAAGAACAGATGGGGGGACAAAGCACTGGTTTAGGAAGGGTAGACAGCTCCACTGGCCTTGACACATGAGGCGTGGTTCGGCCCAAAGCTTTGGCAGGTCAGTGGATGAGAGAGCCCTACCCACATGGGAGGGGCTGAGATGGAAAGCGCACTTTGAGGAAATGTGTTCATCCACCTTCCCTGTTGTACGTCCCACAGAGGGGAACCAGCGCCCCTGAGGGTGTTGGGGATGGGGTTTCATGTCTACGCCCTAAGTGGTTCTGGTCAGCAGCCTGAGTGTAGACCAAGCAAGGCTACAGAGAATTTAGACTCCCTCAGTTTGACCTCCTCACCTCAAGCCTTAAGTCCAGATACTGCCGTCTATGTAAAATCGCCTGGACAGTGGGTGCTGCTCTCTGTAATGGACTGGATGCCAACCTATTGGCAACTATTGCCAGGGGTCCTGTGGTCAATGAAGTTCCCTGCCAATCAGACACAGCTTTGATCTCCCTTAGGTTCCAAACACCCAAATTACAACTGAAAGCCAGATGGTGAGCTGATTTTTAAATGCACAAATTTCAAGCTCCGCACAGAGCTCCATCTTTCTCCCATCTTCCTCCAACTTGTGGGTTTTTTTTGGGGGGGGGGTTGTTTTGTTGTGTTTTTTAAAGATATTTCCTTAACTCCACAGGCCTTGAATCTGTTCATTATTCATCTTCACTCTCCAGATGTCAACTTGAGGGATAGATGTACTTAAAACCGGAAATGAAAGGGCAGCCTGATCCGAGAACAAAGCCTCGGGATTCCCATGATGGAGACACTTTCCGTGCCTCAGCTTTCTAAGTAATAGAGGGAGAAAAAAAAAGCCAAACCTCCATGAGACAGACCTGTGTAGCTGCAACACCATCACCAGCAGCAAGTTTAAGGGACACTTTTGCAAAAGTACACTTTGAAATAAGCATGTCATTCACAAAATGGCGCTAAGCAGTTTTAACGGTTGGAAAATAGCCTAGCTGTTCTCTCTTCCCCTTTCCCTTTCCTCTGCATCTCCTCTTTTAAGCAAACAGAGAGAACCTTCTGGGTGACTAATCCTTGATTTGATGTGTGTCACACCCACAAAACGGTGCGTAAGTCCTCCAGATGTACTCTTAACTGTGAACTGGGCTTCAGCTACATTAAATGACAGTATTCAATGCAGAGCCCATCCGTCACCTGGTTCATACATCTTCTCCATACAGTCAGAATGAAAGCCCCCTATGCCAGCTTCCTAGTTAGGGATGGAGACTGGGTGCCCTGCAGTAGAGTTGGGGCCTGTGCTGGCTCCAAGACAAATTGTTCTTGGGGTTTTGTTATCATTTCTCAGTAGTCAAGCGTGTGTTAACATCAGTCCATTCAGATAATTTAGTTCATATATCTGTTAATTCAATCCCTGTCACTCCCCTCCCCTCCCCGGGATTCTGCTATTACCAAAACCTCCCACTCACTTGAAGCAACTTTCCAGCTCCCAGCTCTACTTGCCCATAAGCCCAAGACCATCAGAAAGCTAAGAATGAGGGGGTAGGATGTCTAAACATCCTGCCCGCTTGCTCCTTAAGCAGTTGGTTGAACTTCCTCTCATTCTGACAGTTTCAACAATACTGAGGGGGGTTGAGGGGAAATGCCAGAAGGCAAATGTACACAAAGGCAGCCATCCTGAAAAAGTCCCCATAGGAAGGGTAGAGCCTTATTCTCACGAAGTTAAATAATGAAGAGATCTTATTCTCTATGAAGGAAAGGAATTATTCCCATCCCAATTAGCACCAGTAGCTCCTTTTCTTCTCTGATGAATGAAGAGATAAAGAAAAATCTTTGAAGCCCTCCCACCCCCCCCACTCCCCCACCCCTGTTCTCATGCCCTGATCAGGAAACAGAGGAACACATTAAATCATTCGATTATGGATTTGAAAAGAGTATGTGAATGAGGCTTGTCAATAGCCTCAAAACTTCCCACAACGACAAATTCACGCCCAGGCATAGTAAAGGCAGCTGGGAAATACCTGCCCATCCCAAGTCACCAGGCTCTTAAGGGGAAGGTGCACACTCTTTGCTGAGAGTTCAGTCCAGTCTTTCAGAATGATGTGGGTCTCACCATCATCCGGCAGGTGAAAGCTCTGACAGCAGTGGCAGCTGCCGGTGTTTCTATGGCCACCTTGTCTTCAGCAGTCTGTCCCGGGTGTTGGGCTGTGGGAAACAAAAGGTTACAGTGTTTGCAGCCACAGAGCCCTGTCCCATCTACATCTTTGGGTACCTTGCCTCCACTCCACGTGCGCTGGCAGCATAGGCTGAACTGGGATGCTGAAGTTGGGTTTAACATCAAATGGCCAGCTGGCTGTTCCTGTCTCTGCCTCCCAGGACTGTGTTCTGTGCCTCCCACCCTACAGTTGCCCACCCAGCTACCCAAGCAACTTCTGGCTGCTTTACCTGTATTGGTTCTCCAGGGCTCGGCTCTCAGCTCGCTCTGGAACCCAAGAATAGCTGTCAGCTGCATTCTGGGGCTTCTTCTTTTTTATCTCCTCCTTCTTGGCTCTCCGTTTACGATAAATGAGAAGCCCTAAGGCCAGGGCCAGCAAGAGTGAGATGGCCACCACAGTGCCCAAGATGTAGAACAGAAGCAGCTTCTGCCCATCGGTGTCGCTGTCACTGTGGGCCGACACCGAATCTTCATGTGTGGGCTTGCTGTGGCCAGTGGTCATGGGGAGGTAGGTACCCAACTCCCTCCAGACATCAGATTCCTCACTGGTGACTGATATTTCTTGTGGAGCAGAGGTAGTGGGGGGATCTGATGGGAAGGAAGGATGCCCTGTGGTGTGTCCTCCCTTGGAGACATCCTCAGAGCCTCTGGAAGAACTGGGCATTTCAGAAGGAGGCACAGTACTCCCCTTTATGTCACCTTCACCTTCCTTTTGGGGAGGCCAAGTTGATGGTTCTAAAGACACAGTGTCCTTGATACAAGAGACCCCATTAGGAGCCAGCTCCCAGCCTGGTGGGCAGACACATTTGAAGGAACCCTCCAAGTTGACGCACAGGGTGTCACACGGATTGTTCATGGAGTCCGAACACTCATCTATATCCTGACATTGGGTACTGTCTTCCCCAGACATGGTATAGCCAGCTTTACAGGAGCAGTAGAATGAACCATCAGTGTTATGGCAGTGATGGGCACAGGGTGAGGGGGCAGCGGCACATTCATCCACATCCTCACAGGTCTCCCCTTTGGGGTCACTGGGTTGGTAGCCCACCCAACATTCACATTGGAAGGCCCCGGGAATGTTGATACATTCCTGGGCACAGGGGGAGTACTGACACTCATCAATATCCACACAGTGCACTTGGCTAGAGTCCAGCTGGTAGCCACTGGGACACTGGCATGTGTAGTTTTCGCTGAGGGGTACAGGATGGCATGAGCCCCCTCCTGTGCATGAGTCGGAGCTACAGGAGTTCCGAGAAGCACAAGTTACTAGGTCATCCTCCAGTCGGAATCCAGGCCGGCAGCCACAGCGGAAGGATCCATTCCCACCTTCAAAGCATTCCTGCTGGCAGCCCCCATTGTTGAAATTGCAGCCAAACTCGGGGCTGACACAGAGGGGGCCTGAGTTGCCCCAGTGGAATACACCCGGAGTCTGAGTCTTTTCCTTACACAGGAAGTAGTAGGTCTTACTCTCAGCCTCATCCCCACAGGCTACATTGGCTGCAGAGGCAAAAGGCACAGCCTCCAGGGAGGAGGTGGTGGCCTGGAAAGGGGTGGTATAGGTCACCTGGCCTGGACCACCCAGAGAGAGAGGACTGCACATGCCTTTGAAGTTGAACTTGCACAAGAAACCATCAGTGTTAGCTGGACTCTCAGGAGTCCCACAGAGGCTCTCATACCATTTGGGGAGATGGCTGGGGTGAGGTGTCAAGGACAGGTCCAGTATCAGGGACACACAGCGCATAGAGGTGCAGGATTTCTTGCTCTCTTTGTACCAGTTTGTATAAGCTGTGTCCTCTCCACCACTCACCCAACTGAAGCCCTTCATTGGCAAATCGTGGTACGTACACTTGCCCTTTTCTCGCTGGAGCCCGATCCAGAATTTGCCCATCTTGGCTTCCAAGGTTGGCTTGGTCTTCAAGAGCTGAGCCAGAGCTTGCTGGACATGCCGGGCCTCCTCCTCGCTCTTCACTGTGGCTAGATTGCCTCCATTCTCCTTGCAGCGGTTTTGGGCTTCACCGGCGTTCAGCTTTCCCCAGTGGGCAGTATAGCAGGCAGTCCCCTCACACACGACAGCCTCTGAATCAGCGGCAGCCCCTGCCCAGGACTGGCCCAGAAGCAGCAGCAGCAACAAACCTGTTGAGGTGGCCATTCTGCCGAGTCTCCTGGGAGAGGCTAGATTCCCCCACAAGGACAGCAGCCACCACTGAATCTTGGAGCGTGGCACCCGGCTGGGCTCCGAGGGGAGCTGAGGGCTGTGTCTCTGCTGTCAAACCACCACAGCTCTGGCGCAGCGAAGGTTACAGACTCCAGGCTTTTCACGTCCCCCTGACCCAGGGCGCATCCTGTGCTCTAGTACTTCTTATTTCTCACCGGATGCTGGGGCTTCCTGCCGTGAATAGCGTTCTGACTCCTGTTGCCTTCATCACGGTTTTGTTGTTCTCAGGACAGCGTTGCTGGTCTCTGGCTCGGAGTTGTGGAAACACGGTGGGGACTGCAGAGGAGCCAAAAGATATGGCTGCTTTATTTTGGGTTCACTCACTTTTCCCATAGCGTGAAGAGCCGCTGTGGCATGCTATCTAGTGAGCAGAGGCCTTGGGGGCTAGGGACTTGAAAAGGATCATCCAAGTAACCCATAATAAAATTCCACTTCAGATTTGCAAACCACCAAAAGAGAAAGAAAAATATGTGAGACTTGAGACACAAGGCCACAGACAGATAGTTTTCAGCCTTTTTTAGAAGCAAGCTAGATCTGCTTTTTTCCTATCTTGTGCCTCCCTTCTGTTTGTGGGACTCTTTTTTTCGTTTATTCTTCCAATCATGAACTTTAAATAGATAGGCAGTTTTTAAATAGGATTTGGGCCATGGGAATTTCTGGATTTTCAACAATGCCAAGCTTCCTGAGAACAAGAAACCAAATTGGGTGAAAAATAGGGCCGTTTTCAGGGTTTCTTAGAGCATTGTGAAGTGCCAGGGTCACAAGAAAGATCAGAAAGATAGGAAAATGAACTTTCCCTCCCTTGAGGAAGGGGTCACATGTCTTCTACCCCAAGGCTTAGGGGGAGTCACCTCAGAAGTGCTGAACCAAAGCCAACCCCACCCATCAAAGATCCTTTACCCAAGCCAGCACCGAGATGGTGGAAACTATGTTTAATTGTGCCCTGCCCCCACCACCATGCTCCACCCCGCCCCAACTAGATTCAGCGAAAAAGTTTTGGAGCAAGACATCAAGCGTAGCACTGTCAGAAGGAGTCCACATAGGTTATCTACTGAGCCCAGCTTCCTGAGACAAGACTTGGGAAAACCCAACCAGAGTCCTCCCAGCTGAGGCTCTGGGGAAGCTCTTAAGCTCCCCTCTATGGTCTGCGGCTGCTTACCCTGTTCTCTAACTTAGTCTTGAGGTTTCTTTGTAAATTCCAACCTTGGTCGACCAGACCATGTGCCCCTTCTCCAGGCAAGGGTGAAGCAGGCAAATGTTCTGATAGTTATTCATTGACCTACACACAGTTTCTTCTTCCAAAGGTGGCCACTGTTCAACTGGGACTAGGGTGTGGTCGTGACATACTAAGAGAGCAACCTAACAGAACACAGAAGTAACAGGTTTGTGTTACCCCAGATCCCGGTGTTATACCAAGATTCACAAAGTCCCCCCAAAACCAACAAGGAGACGGAGTCCCGTATGTAAAAGCAAAGAGCCTCTATATTACACAAGTTTGCAAACTCGGTCTCTCCATATGTCCAATGTATTGGAATAAATGGAGAGCCCTGAGCTCGGTTAGAGTTGGGTTTCTATAGTAGTAAAGGTGGGGGTTAGGGATTTCTGAGGTTCAGGACCCCTGATTGGCTGACATTTATCTAGGGGTGTCCTGGTGAGTGTGCTGGCAGGTGATCCTATCTACATTAGGCATTTCCTTTGGGTGGTGCTCGGGCAATCTCAGTTTGTGGTTCTTCCTGCAACCAGGTATTGCCTCAGGGTAAACTACTGAGACTCAGGCCTCCATTAAACTTATCAATGGCTGAGTCCTACACTGGCAGGTGATAATGGTTGGAAGTAAAGAACTTTCTTTGGGTGATCTGTTTCTATTTAGCTTATCATAGCGGCTCCTACACCCGGAACCAATGGGAAGTGGGAGTTGAGAGACACTGAAAAGGAGAGGGAGGGACAGAGAGAGAAGGGGGAGGGGCAGAGAGAGATGGAGGAGGGAGAGAGGAAAAAAGGGAAGAAGGAGAGAGAGAGGGAGTATCAAAATCATTACTGGGGTTCAGGATGTTGTCTAGGTAAGTTTTTTTTTTAAGGCAGTACTATCTGGAGTTCAGAACAAATAGGAAGGATTCCCAAGGATTCACTTAAACCTCTTTCTCAGGTGTCCATAGAATTCCATCCACCGTATCAACCCATTCACCTAATTCAACCAACCATCCTCTACCTACGTAGCCATCCACCAGTCCTTCCATCTACTCATCCATCTACCAGTTTAACAACTTTTCATAGTGTATGCTGGGCTAAACACTAAGTTCCAGGGAGGATCTCTTGCCCTTATGATTTCAAGTATGTATAAGTTTGAATAATTGGTATAAAGTCACATTATTGAAGGCAACATAAGGCAAAGTACTAGGTGGCAGGAAAGACCATTATCAGGGTCCTAACCTGGTAGTAGGAGGTAGGCACTATGGAAGGGGACAAGACAGGCAATGGAGTAATATGCTGCGGCAGTGGTTCTCAATCTCCCCAGCATTGTGACCCCTTATTTCAGTTCCTCATGTTATGGTGAGGAACCCAGCGACAAAATTATTTTCCTTGTTACTTCTTAGCTGTAATTTTGCTACTGTTATGAATCATAATATAAATATTTGATGTTCAGGGCAACAGACATGCAACTCCTGAGAAAGGGGATCATGACCCACAGGTTGAGAACCACTGTTCCAAGATATATATATATATATATATATATATATATACATATATATACATATATATTATAAATATTATATATACACACATTTATATATACACACATATAATATAAGGTGTGTGTGTATATATAGCTAAGAATGGTGTCCGTGTGGGAAGGAACTTACACCAAGGCCTTGTGGACAAGAGAAGGAATGTTGAACTATAAGCCTGGAGCCTGGGGTATGACAGACAGAATACAAAAGATGGAGCCCTGTGAGGACAAATGGCTTGGAATTTTCCTTGAAATCCAATGGAGAAAACCGAGAAGACATCATAAGACAATATTATAGACCATGGACGCTCAGCAGGCAAACTTGGGTTTCCAGGACAAGAAAGGGATATAGAGACTGAGCTGGTCTTGGACTGGGGTCAAGACCAAATGTTGAAAATTCAGAGCCAGCTGCTGTTGGTCTTGTGTGCTGTGAGGTATCGGGTGCTTCTTTGGCTCCTATTGACAGCTAGGGTCCTAGAAGTCTGTGTCCGTTGGAAGTGAGTATGTGAGGTCTAGGATGGAGAAAATGGAGAGGCATACTTTTGGGGGTCAGCAGGTCCCAGATCCTCTTCCTTATTGAGGACCTACTTCGAACTCTCAATTCACCCCCAGAGAAAAGGAAGATCCAGATTGGGAAGGAACTAGGAAGGTGGTGTCCTTGGCTCCAGGGCTATGGTTTTGGGCTTGATGAAGTTCAATCCTCTTCCTTTTACCTCCTAGAGAACCTAGATTTCAAAAGGCAGGTCACTTCTTAATATTTATAGTAACTTTAGTTTTGGGTGGCAACATAGGATAGCATTGATTCATAACCTTCTCCTGGTCGAGATCTGCGACTGTTCAGTCCAGGACCAATTCCTGCATTCACTCAACACCCTCCAGGAGTTCTCCAGCACATCCCATTGTTACACTTAAAGACATAGGCTGACATAATACATGGGGACGTGCTTAGTCTTACTGCAACTTGATAAGCCGTGTTTTATTGATACTCAGAGGAGACCTGCTCTTTCTCGGATGGAGAAGGAAAAGGAGAGTATTAGAGGGTGGGATGGGAGAACGGGGGTTTGGGAGTGGGAGGCGAGGATGAGGGGGAGAGGCTGAGGTGGGATGTAAAATAAATCGAGGAATTAAAAGGACACGGGCTGAATGAGTAGCTGACAGTTTAACTACTCTGGCCCACAGATTTTTGCCTATATTTCTTAGGTGACACAGCTTGGTCTTCTACAAAGGAACTTCCAAATCTACTATTTTCCCTTAGCCACACGTATCCTATCAATATCTTAAAGAGGGCAGTCATCTCGGAGGAAGTGTGGTTTGCTTGTTTACCCATTAGCATGGGAAGACATTTCTGCAACTCACACTACAAAAGAGATTCATGATTCCCCGTGGTCTGGGCTGGCTTGACCTCAGTTTTTACCCCTCCCTTGTGTAAAGAGAGATAGAATCTGGACCACAGTAAAATCCTGTCCTATTCTCCCTTCTAAAACAAGGGGGAAAGCTAGGAAGGAGCAGCACAGGGCTTCTGGGGCTCACTCGGTAGGTCTGAGAACAGACTTCATAGAGCCTCTCTCTGCAGCACACATGTGAACTTGTCCACACAACATACAAAGTAATTCTCCTGGTTATTCACATCTCCTTTTAACCCCCTGTTCTCTTCTTCTTTCTCCTCCTCCTCCTCTTAAGGCAGCCCAGATTCCTCTCAAGGAGCCCAGATTCCCTCCAAATTGCCACTTAGCAGAGGATGATCCTGTACTTCCCATCCTCCACCTCAAAGGGCTGGGATTACAGGTGAGCACTACCGCAGGTGGCCATCCTCCCTTGCTTGTGGAAACCTGTTGGCCTTTGTGAGGCTGAACTACTGAGGAGGTGGCAGGCGTCCCAGGGAGCCCAGGGTAGAGGCCTGAGATCTCAGGAGGGGGTAGCAGTTTACAGTCCTGGGGTAGGATCTGGCTGCCGCTTCTCAAGTATTTACAATAGGTCAAATGAAAACCTTGAGGAACTTTGTGGTACCTCACATGCTAAAATCCCCCATGGATACCGGCTGGCCACAGTGCAGATTAATCAAGCTTCTCCAAAGATTTATCCTTAAATCAGGAAGCAGCAGCAGCTCAAAGTCCAAAAGAGCTTTCTTTGTCGGGTCTTAGAAAAAAGTCACATCCACTGTTATAAAACTACCCCAAGCCCGGAGGGTGCCTGAGTCTTAGTCTCAAATTATCTGTTTCTACTCTGCAGTCTTGCTGAGGACTCTGAGATTTCTTTCTGAATTAACTCTGAGATTTCTTTCTGAATTAACTTTAAAATGTTTTTCCCATCACGCTGGGAGTGGAATGTTCTGGTCTGTAATCTGGGGACAGTTCAGTCTCATTTGGTAGAAGATTAGTTGCTTGGTGGTCATTCAGGCATCTATCTGGCTTCTCTTTTTTTTTCTGCAAGGTCTAGAAACAGCCTTCCTTCCTCTCAGCAGTCGCCTCCCTCCGGTCCCCTTCACCATGCCCTCTCCTCCCCCCCCATGCATGACCACTCTCCTCAGTGTGTTTCTTCTTCCCTGAATGCCCACTGAGCACCCACTGTGCGCTTCTGAATGCCCACTGAGCACCCACTGTGCGCTTCTGAATGCCCACTGAGCACCCACTGTGCGCTTGGCAGCATTATCTTTACATGGGGTGAGGGCATGGGCCGCCCTGCATTGTGAACCTGCAGGTGTCCGTGAGCAGAGGGATCAGCACACCCCACAGGGGGCCCCACCAGCAGCTAAACACCACCGGGTGGTGCAGGCTGAACACCTAACAGATGCCAGGAAGCAGGTGGTACTTCGTGCGCAGAAAATTTCAAACTGATGAAAACAAAG